CCATTTAGAGTCAAACAGACCATAAAGCAGGGGATGCACTGTTTATTTTTTTCCACAAAAAATAGTGTGGCACTAAAATCTAAAAGAAATTAAAATTAAAATTTCAAAAACAGTAAAATTCAATCAAACATAATCTAACATAACATAAAATGAAACATAAGAAAATCTAAAATACAATATTGTAAAATAAATTGAGAAAACCAAATCAAACACATCAGTTGTAAAAAGCTAAAACATAAAATAAAACTTAATAAAAAAATCGAATAGAAAACAAAACTCTCTTTCTCATTCTTATATGTTGCTGTATTTGCTTTTGAGTTTCTTCAAGGAAGAAAAACACAATATATATATAAATATGAGTGCTGGGCAAGTTAACGCATTATTATCGCGTTAACGCATTAATTAATTGACGTCGACAATTACGTTATCGCGCGTCAACGCATTTTCTTTTTAATTATTAAGCGGACATTTTTAACACAAGAACCGGGCAGCGAGCGGTGAACAGCTGTTTGTGTGGCGTCACTTCATTCTGCTGCTGCTCCCCCCCCCACGGGTGACACGCCCGGTCCGGAACCGTCGGTCCCTCCTGTCTCTCACACTCTCTCTCACACTCTCACACACTCACACACACACACACACACACACACACAGCTACTGCTACTCTGTAAAGGGAATACTGCTGTTAAAAATAACCTGATGTGTTTAAAGTGTTTACAAACCAAATGTTATTGCCCTTTTGTTCATATAGCAGTACTTTAAAATAAAAATGCGCAAAACACTACTTTTGAATTCATTATTGAACTTTGCCATAACAATGCGATTAATCGCGATTAAAAATTGTAATCGTTTGCCCAGCACTAGTATATCAAATTGTAAAAGGTGTACATTGTTATTGATAAAGCCAAGCTCTGTCTGTGGGCCTTCATCAAATGGCAAAGAGTTTACAAATACATCAAGCAGACCTGTGCTTTGTCAAGCAAGTACTCATGTGAAATGTAGTTCAGAACTGTAGTTTTCGTGATCCAAATAAATGGGAAGCTTAAAAACATGATATATTAAATGTGTCGCCAACATGTTTCCTTTTGACCATTAAACACAACTATACACTATTGCAGTACATTTATGATTTTAGTAGCACAGCAAATACCACAAACTTAAGAATACAATCATTACACTTTTGTTATTTTTGTCCGATTATTTTCACGTGTACTTGAAATTTCCACAATGTTCCACAGCAAAACTCCAAGATACTTCCTTTTTAAATGATTTACTCTGCTCAGTTTTTTACGTGTTTATGTGGCCGTCCAGATGAAGAAGAGCACTACTACTGAAGTAGTGAAAGTTCTATCACGTTAGTCACAGCTGTATGGTTTCTCTCCAGCATAAATGCGCAGGTGGACTTTCAGGTTGTTTTTTACCTTAGAAAACAGGTTTTCCTCATTGATCGAAGCCTTAAGGTTCCTCCCCGGCGTGAACACGTCCGTGGATTTTCAGATTACCTTGAGTGGCGAAGGCTTTCCCACATTGATCACAGCTGTACGGTTTCTCTCCAGTGTGAATAAGTCTGTGGGTTTTCAGGTGACCTGGAATGGTGAAAGACTTCTCACATTGATCACAGCTGTACGGTCTCTCTCCGGTGTGACTACGTCGGTGGCTTTTCAGATTACTCGGAGTAGCGAAAGCTTTCCCGCATTGATCACAACCGTACGGTTTTTCTCCCGTGTGCACACGTCTGTGGATTTTCAGGTGACCCGGAGTGGTGAATGTTCTCTCACACAGATCACAGCTGTACGGTTTCTCTCCAGTGTGAATACGTCGGTGGATCTTAAGGTCACTTGATGTTTTGCAAGTTTTCCCACAAAACTCACAGCTATGCGTTTTTTCTCCCGTGTGAACGTGCATGTGGATTTTCCGAACACCTGGAGTTGCGAACACATTCTCACACCGGTTACAGCCGTATGGTTTCTCTCCCGTGTGGCTGCGTTGATGGATTTTTAATTGCGGTAACTGAGTGAACATTTTCTCACATTGTTCACACCCGTATGGTTTCTCTCCGGTGTGAGTGCGCTGGTGGGCTTTAAGGCTACTAATGTGAAAAAAGGTTTTCCCACATTGATCACAGCCGTGTAGCTTCTCTCCAGTGTGAACACGATGGTGTCTCTTCAGGTCAAACGGAGTGGTGAAGGCTTTGGTACACAGGTCACAACCGTACGGTTTCTCTTCAAAGTGACCTCTCTCATGGATCTTTAAATATCTTGATGTTGTGAAGGACTTGTCACAGTGCTGACAGCTGTGATTTTTGAGTCCCACCGCTCCTCTCAGTTTCTGTGGCAACAGAGAAACATACAGAGAGACAGTTATCTGAAACCATAAATAACATCAACACTTGCCTTTGTAGATATTTGACCTATCACCACGGATCGAAATTCCATTATCGAGTTGTTTGTAATGAAAAGAAATAAAAAGTCACCGTACACCAAGAACTCTGTAGCAAACCTAAAACTGAGACTTACTTGATTAATATCAAATTTTCCAGGATTTGGGCTTATAATTCATTATGGGAATTGCAAGATCCAGTGTTGTCTCCACCTCAGCTGAACAAATTATTATTGGGCATTATTACCCAATTTCTCAGAATATTTTTAAGATCAGTATTTCTATTGGTTCTGATGAAGCTGGTTAGAAAATAAACTCAATCTAAATAGTGATCATTTATTGTCTTCTTCACAATTTGTGTAATTTCAGGAGTGATGTTATCACTTTGACCAACAAACAGTTTCTTCTGAAATTTACATGTTTCTCTGAAGATGAACAACCAATGCATTCTTCCTGTTTTCATCATAAAATGGATCACTAAAAAGACAAAATAATAAATATAAATATGGAAGGGTATTAGAACAAAAAGGGGGATTTATTTTTAATTTAATTTAAGATTCATTAAATTTTTTCCCTTGTTTTTAGGGAAAACAGTAATTCACAGATATTTCAACTCAGCACATCAACTTTAATGATGACTTTGAGCACAGACTCATGTATGATAATTACGACATCATCATTGTTATCATCAGAGACCAGAGTACTTTACCTTGGGCATTGAATGCACCACCAAACCTCCTCTCTCATGGCAATCCGCCGATGTCGATGCCGTCACAGAGAGAGAGTGAGCTTCTTCTATGGTACCGAGAGACTCCCCCGAAATATCGTCACTACGGGAAAACAGGTGAAGCACAAAACCATCAAACAAAATCACTGTTTTAAAAAACAGAGTTCCACAAGGTTCTGTGCTTGGACCAATTTCATTCACCTTATATGTGCTTCCTTTAGGCAATATTATCAGGAAACATTCATTGTTATGCAGACGATACTCCATTGTATCTATTGATCAAGCGAGACGAAACAAACCAATAAACTCTAAGCAGCCTTAAGAACATAAAAACCTGGACGACTCTTTGAGCTTCTACATCCCCGAGGAGCCAAAAAGATTTCAGAGACGGATCCAATCGTGAATACAAGACTTAAGGAATCTCAGGTTTGATGCAAATGAACATGTGATGTTTAAATATCTTCAGTAACAGGAAGAGTGCCTTTGACGTGTGGGTTCTGGACCTTCGGTTTACCTCCTTGAGGTGTAATGAACATCTGTGAACATCATTAAGCTAGTTTTCTATTTGTATAACTTAACCCTGTGAAGCCTGACACATCAGTAATATTCAGAAAATTCAGATGTTTTTGATATTGAAGTGTTTATTGGACCTTTAGTCAAAAAATATTGTTATTTACATACATGACATTTTTTGTATCAGATTTGATACATCAGGCATATTGATCAATTATTGATCAAAACAGTGTTTGTTTTAGAAACAATAACAAATGATGTCCATTGCTTTTGGAACATTTCAGTTGGTTTGGTTCTTAACCTTTAACCTCTGTCCTCGGCCTCGTGGTGGGCAGAGAAACAGTTCCTGTCCTTGTTCAGGCAGAGATGGACTTTACATTTGCCACAGTAGACGTGGGAGAAGTGGTTGCCTGTGCAGTGCTTGCATCTCTGTCTGGTTGCCCATGTTGGGAAGTGATCAACGCCATCCTTTCTCACATTGGGGGGCACACGAGAGTTTGGCCTTTTGCGTGGGGGGGGTACTGCGTCCGGTTCTGGAGAGGATAGTCTGTCGCACTTGATTCGGCCTTTTCCTGTGCACGTGAGAGAAGAAGTGGCAGCAGAAGCCTGAGACCTTCGTAAGGCCATGGGCTCCTTCTGGGGCTCCAGATCATTCTGGTCTCGTCTGTAGAGGTTCCAGGCATACTCACGCTAATACATAACGAATCACCAAGCCTTACATAGTCTTATATATATGTGTATGCATATATAACGCTCTGATTTCACCCTGAAATCTAAAAAATTGAAAATAAAAACAAAAAACGAAACAAATCTGAAATAATAACAATAGAAAGGATATATAATAACTCTTTGGTTAAATTTAATTGAAGAATAAATTCCCCTTGAAAATGAAAGAAATAGAAACGGTGCAGGTTTCTTAATAATAAATAAATCATTGTTTCCACTCACCTTGCATGCGGACAGCTTTCATAACTTCTTGCGTCTTCGATGTCTTCGTCTTTTATCTGCGGAGGAGCCTGGAGGAGGAGGAAGAACAAGAGTTGACTATTGAATCATGAAGATGTGCACATTGAAGGTTCCCTCTGGACCTTTGGGAGCCGCGTGCTCAGAGCGAGAATACACGGACCTTCACTCTGATGTACAGCGCTGCTGCTCCTCTCCCCGTGGATCCGATGCACCTCTGGATCTCCTCTGGCGTCAGCGTCTGGAGGCTCAGTGGCCTCAGTTTCTCGGCCGCGTCGGTCGTGAAGGCGTCAAACGGTCCGGTCAGCTGAGGGAAGGTGGACCTCAGCAGGTCCAGGAAGTCTGGTTCCTGCAGGCCTCGGGGACACCTCACCTCCTGCACCGGGGACTTCACCTCTAACACACAAACAGATTCAGTTATAGTTATTCCTTCTGATGAAGATGCACAAACGTTTACCTCCAAATTAATTATTAAGCTCAAATCTAAATCAAACCTCCAGAAGAAACTCATCCTTCATATGTTTTTATGTATATTATTATCTTTGTTTGCTCAAACAAACACTCAGCTGCAGGTTGACTAGTGGCGGCTGGAGTTTAAAAGAGTCGGTAAAGTTCCAGATCATTCCCTCAGAAAGTTGAGCTCTAGAATTTGGGAGATTTTGCAGAATTTCTCCATAAAAATAATAATAATTATTACATAAAAAGTACCGATATTACTGGAGTGAATGTATCTTTATGTTTTATGATATTTCAGTGAACCAGCAGGGAGTAACCTGAAGAAAAGTACAGTTTATAACTGTTGACACATTAGTCATAGTAATAGATGTATTTGTTATATTAATTGATGATTTATTCATATTAATAGGCTTTAGTTTCCTCCATCACAGCATGCATATTTCATCATATTCTCTGTGTTTCCAGCATGAACTCAACGTGCTGAGCGGACGTTTCACTTCCTGTTGGACTCTCACCGTCTTCTGTGAGCGAGTCGCTCTGAGAGTCCTGCAGCAGACCGACTCGGAGGTTTAGAGGAGCCCCCTTCCTCTCCACAGACGGTCTCTGGTGATCCGGGTCCCTCAGATCCTCCTGATCCAGACTGGTGCTCTGTCCTGGCTCCTCCTCCTCCTCCTCCTCAGCGTGGCCGAAGAAGTCTCCAGAGTCCATATCTGAACAAAAACATACATAAATAAAAAGAGTCGACATTTTGATTTTGCAACAACTGAGAGAACTAAACGTGGTTCACTTTGTGTTTTAACGAGTACAGAGAGGAAGTACGCAGCGATGGAGGAAGTATTTATTCTACTTATTATCTTTATTTAACACGTTTGTGCCCTGCGATGACCTGGCGACCTGTCCAGGGTGAACCCTGCCTTCGCCCAATGTCAGCTGGGATCGGCTCCAGCGCCCCGCGACCCTCAACAGGATAAGCGGTTTGGATAGTGGATGGATGGATGGTGTCAGAAAACTAAAACCGGCTGATTGAATTAACTTTATTCATTATCTTTAAAGAGGATTTAAAGACGTACTGAACTCATATGTGTACTGCTCTTCTTCCTCAGGAGGTTCTCCTCCTCCTCCTCCTCCTCCTCCTCCTCTTCCTCCTTCAGCCGGCTGGCAGACAGGAAACTGGTCATCTGGATCAGAGACAGAATATATAAATATATTAGATATGTATAATAGATAACCCACTACAGAGATATTAACACCAGTTAACACTAATTACTACGCTTGATGAACCGCAACACCGGTGATCGTTACTGCGCATGTCTGGCTCATTCCGAACGAGCCTGTAATCCACAGGATGTCAGAAATACCCGGATGTTGTTACTGTAAGTAGTATACAGTGTGGTGCATGTAGTAGAGGGCTTTAGTTGTGTTATAAAAACCAACGAAGAAGATTCAGACCTGTCGTCTCCAGCTTGATCTCCGGCTGCGCGAGGAGCTCCAGCAGCCTCCTCTGCCGGTCGATCTCCTGCCTCAGACCCGACGCCTCCTCCTCGTAGCCGGCCACGGTTCTCTGGACGACCGCGAAGATCTCCTGCGCGGCTGTTGTCAGTTTATCGGCCACGATTCCTCTCAGAATCTCGGCTTTAGACATGGTGCCGACGTCGAAGGGAGCCTCGGCCGCCATGTTGTTTCTGTGTTGTTATTTCTTCTTCTTCGTTAATTTATTGAAGGACTACGAACCAACGTTTAAGGGTTATACCGCCACCTGCTGAACCGGAGGGTGTAACATCATGACTTTATGACAATTATGTCTTTAATTAAAAGACATTCATATTGTTATTATGATAAATAATAATGAAATTTAAAAAAGAAGAAAAATATAATGAAGTGAAACTCAGGAAAACTGAAAGGAAATAACGTAATAAAATAAAAATTAAAATGAATATAAAGCACAGCAAATATAAAATACAATATAATTTAAAAAAAAGTCAAAATATTAAATTAAATTAAAATTACATTTTTAAAATCTAAGAGAAATATAAATTGCTTGATCTTGCATGTTGCCCTTATTATTTCAGGCAAAATACTTTTACATGAGAAAAAAATGTTTCTTATTGATGATTAAAACACAAATATACAAAATTATTTTTGATGATAGTAGCTCAGCAAATACCACAAAAATACAATCTTTAATATTTATTGTCATGTAATTTTTTACAGGTAATTCTCATGTGTACTTCATGTGTACTTCATGTGTACTTCATGTGTACTTCATGCGGCCATCCAGATGAGGAAGGGCAGCAGGACGGCGATGGTGACTGAGCAGGAGGTCAGAGCCCCGAGCTGGAGGAGCAGGCTCAGACCCAACACCACCGTCACCTTTGCAACGCGCCGACTCAGCAACAGCTTCCTCGCCGTCTTACAGAACTGAAGAAGAAGAAGAAGAGGAGGAGAGATGTAGAGGGTTTGATAAGAGACAGGAAAAAATACTTTCTGTTTGATTTTCTTTTTGAGTCACATGAACGTCTGAATATCTTTATTGATAAATGTTCATATATGTATTTATTACTCTTCTATTGTCTCTTTTTATTTCATTGTTGCACTGATTATTAGTATTAAATACTATTACAGGAAGTGAGCAGTACTCCGATGATGCTCTGTGTGCTTTTGTTCTGTTTAAAGATATTAAACTTACAATAAAAGAAACATCATCTCAACTCATTTTAATTATTATTTTCTTTCTGCTTCAGCTTGTTGAATTATTCTCTGTGCTGATGTTACAAAAAAGAGTTTCACAATAAGAGACGTCATCAGAGTCTCCTTTCACAGTTTTAATCGAAAGCTGTAAAATCCAGGAAACAAAAGATCTTTTATTAAACTTCACTGTTGCAACTTGAAGGTTTAAACCAATTAAAGTTTAAAGCTGATCTGATCTGTGATCAGCTTTAAACTGCAGCTCTCTGCTAGAGACTCAGAGTACACAGTAAATACACTATAACCTGTATACTATACAAACAGTATATACAGTACAGTATAAAGAGAATATAGAGCATTTAAAGGACGGTATATATAGTACGCCGAGTATACAGTACAGTATATACAGTACACAGAGTATACAGTACAGTATATACAGTACACCGAGTATACAGTACAGTATATACAGTACACAGAGTATACAGTACAG